ACTCTCTTCTGTGATATGTCCCGGCTTCGTCCGCGGGGACGCGTCTCAGCCGCGCCCACCCCTCTTTCACATGTTTCAATACCCAAATTATACCTGGCTTTTAACTTATTGTGCACATGTTCAACGCTCCACAACCAACAGTATCATAGCTGCTACTTTCAACATTATCCCCCACAAATCCTATCCGCAGCCTCAACGTAGCGTGGGGTGAACGTTTGGACTGTTCCAAACCGTACCAATGCGGAGGGTGCCACGTCAGAGCCTGGCGAGCTGCGCTCAAATTTCTTCACGCCGAAAACAGTAATAATTATGGGCCTCATTCCCCTGAACCTGAGGGAACCACCGACAGGGCGACGTCGGCTGGGACCGCTCGGGCGAGGCTGCAAGAATCACAGGGCCAACGGAGATTTAAGTCGCCCAGGACTAGGATGACGATCTGTACTTTCAACGCACGGACGCTTGCATCGGAAGCTCACATCGAAGATCTGATGTTGCAAGCCAGGAAGATCAAGTACGACGTCATCGGACTGACCGAGACGAGGAGGCATCGCCCGCTACACGCCGTATACGAGACTGGAGAAGAACTGTTCCTCGGAACATGCGACAGCAGGTGGGCGTCCTCGTCAACACGCACTTGGCCATGAACATCGATTCGTACGAAATCTGACGACCCGAATCGGACGTTTGCGATTGAGAAGATGTGGTTCAACTCCAGCTTTGACAATCTTCGTCGCCTACGCACCAACATCAAGCTACGACGAGGATGAGCTCGAAGCGTTCTATATGGAATTGGAGAAGTTCTACAAGGAAGATCATACCTTCTTCAAGGTCATCGTCGGTGATTTCAACGCTAAGATCGGACCAAGAAGAACGGCTGAAGAACTTCACATCGGAACTCACGGAACGGAGTGGAATGAGCAGGGTGAAAGGCTGTCTGATGTCGACCCATACCATCCATGGTAACTCGCAGTTCCAGAAGCCCTACTCTCTACGCTGGGAGTCTCCTGGTGGACAATTCCATAACGAGATCGACCACATCATCTTCAATCGAAGGTTTTGCCTGACCGATGTCGCTGTTGTCCCTAAGTTCTACACGGGATCCGACCACCGTCTCCTTCGCGCAAGATTCCGCTTTTCGATGCGAGGAGAGAGAGCCGCAAAGTTCAAGAAGCGAAGCCCCAAGACCGTCATCAACTGGGATCACTTCACTCTCGCTGGGCTCTGGGAGGATTCCGTCATCGACAACATCGACGAGGAATACGAACGGTTTTCGCACACCTTCACGACTGCGCCAAGAAGTCAGAGAGTTCCAAGATTACCAAGAAGCGTCTATCTCTGGAAACTCTCGAGCTGATTCGCCAACGTGGAGCCGCACGAGCCGCAGGCAATTACCAGCTGACGTCTGAGCTTGCGAAGCTATGCAGAGAAGCGATAAAGGAAGACCTCAAGGAGAGAAGAGCAGCAGTACTGGTGGAAGCCGCAGAGGCTGGGAAGAGCATCCGCAACGCCCGCCGAGTCTTCGCCAACTGTAAGACCAAAATGACCGCCCTCCGGATGGA